GGAGGTGGAGAAGGATGTAAAAGCAAGGACAAAGGGCGAGATGGGTGCAGCCAAGTCCCTATGTTCTCCATTTGACCAGCCAGAACTCCCAGAAGGTATAATATAAGTTCAGTTTTTGAGAATTTTGTTGATAGAATTCTCCGGATGTCCTGATGTAGCTCGGTGGTGAATGAACACTCCCTCCAGTGGAACCCCAGTAGTAAACAAGTGGAAAACTGTGTTTATACAATCGAAGTCTGGTGTATGGGTCGTTAATTTACTAATTACTTGATGTAATTTACTTGGTTGCGAATTACTGGGCATTATTTGACTAAATATTCCTTTTTATGCAGGGACGTTGTGCTTTGCCTCAGGAAAACCTGCCAGAAAGTGGACCTACTGGGGCCGGAGTTATTGAATTCTGGTTTTAAATTTCTGATTGATACTTAGGAGGTTAGATGATGTGAAACCTCCTCCTAAAATAGGTAGTGTTTTAAGACTTCAGAAATTTTACCATATACCTCATGGAATTGTAGTTCCATTTTTCCCTTCGTGTTTTGACTTGATAAAATGTGATTGTAATGGCTATGAATGCTTTTGTGCATTATAGTGATTTCTCCAGGCTATATGAATTATTTGGTGCAAAGCTCTTGTTGAGCCTCATTTTTTCCCCAAACTCATTTTCAATCATGTTTTCTCAATAAAAGAATTTTACACATAAATTCATTTTTTTTCTACTTTTTAATTACACATTCTCCAAAAAAATCACTATTTTTCACGACAAAATGGGGCTCAAACAATGGCATAATGATTTTGCAGTAGTAAAAAAGCAGCTCCTAAAATGATGTTCACACCATCCTTGGACTGCGAGGGAGAACAAGCGTTGTGGTACCTTTGCATAGAGAAATATTAGCCAATACCCATTGCATGTCTGTTTCTTGTACGTCAACACTTCATACGTAATTACTTTTTAAAATTTATCCATATTACCAAATAGAAGAGCATATTGTTTTTAGCCTGAGAGAAGCATCTGATCTCTGTAGTACGGACCAGACGAGCCTTCCAGCTCAGGGATTGAGCTTCACGAGTTTTCCTGGAAGAACTACAACTCTCCACACACGTTGCCGCTTGACCTTCATTACCATCACCAACAGAACATTCGCATAAAAAATAAAAATTCAACAGCAGAACGGGTTCAAGTGACACCTTTTAATAATAGCACAGCGAAGATTTCAGTTTGGTGGTGACAGTTGGGCATTACATGAATAAGATAAATGAAAAGTGCCTTGAGTGCAAATAAAACAAGGCCTCATGAGCTAAAGTCTCGAGATACTGGACAAACAAACATAAGATGAAATATTTTTTAGCACGAAATTCATAAATGCATGCCAAAATTGGCCTCTACTCACGAAGGAGAGGTATCAGGCATTCTCTATCTCCGCATCACACGATGGCGTTCTTGTTTCCGAAATCGCTGAAGCATGAATTCATCTGTTGCAGCTGGCCTTCGAGCTGCTCCATCAGTAACTGAATCAGAATGTCTAGATACTGGACCAATGTCGTCTACACCTTTATCTTTATAAAGCTCAGGATGCTCTGCTCAAAAATATCAACAAATAAGAAATTATGCAAAACAAGGTGAACATTTCTTTTTAAGAAATAACAGAAGAAATTATGAAGTAGTAAATATGGTTGCAAGTGGGAATGGCAAGTCAGCAAATACACCAAAATCAACATCAAGACGAATGTCATCCCTATTATATAACATATTCGCTAAGCACATGTTTGGTTTTTGCTTAGGTATTTTTGACATGCTTGTTTTAGCTTAAAAGTTGCAAGTCGCTTATATTTTTCTTGTAAAAAAACTGTTATTTAATTTGATGTGTTCTTTTTATGGGGATTACTAACTTAAAAAGATTTAAAAATTATAAGATAATATTCAGGGAAATATCACTCCAGTCGATGGATCCACGCACGATTCTGTGTAGTGAGGAGACATGAGGTAAACTGACCTTTCCTAAGCTTTTCTGAATAGTCCTTTCCACGTTGGAAGTAGTCAGCACTGTAACTTGAGGGAATTCTGGAGTCTGCTTTAGTGCTACCCATTAACCTCTTTTCCTGTAAGAGCTTTTTGGCCGCCTCTGTTTCCTCGATATTCTTTAATTTGTATCTGTAGAGTAGTGAGTAATCATAAGAAAGCAGTGAACTTCAGTTATCTGGCAGCTTAGAGGTGATGCTTCTGTAACCCTTTTAACAGTAACGTGCCTATCGTACTAATTGTTCGAGTAAGAATTCACGCATCTCTTTTATAAAATAAGGCAGCAGTATCCCATTGTACAGCTATGAATAAACTCAAGAAACATTGTAGCAAGAAGCTAGGTTACACAACTGCATTAACTTCTCTCCCTACCATGCACCCAAAAGCATTAAACTTGGTATCTAAGATTACATGGTAGTGGAGATAGCATGTAAATGAAAACTAAGAATAAAAAGCTTTCTTGAGGATCACACTTTCAATATTGTTTCAACCTTCATAGAGGGAAAGAGACTGAACCATTGCTTGAGAGGAAAATAGAACAAAACGTACTCAATCGGAAGCTGAATTTCAGCGATTCCTGTGGTCCACTGAGTAGAGCTTTCTTCTGAGTTTCGCCTCTTCACCTGAAGGGAAAATGTTGGGAAGCTTCAAAAATACAATTTTGATTCAGCAACTTTCATATGATACCAGAGTGAAGGATTCTATTCCAGAGTGGCAGAAGGATTCACTACCTGGTGGATGGTCATATATATATATATGATCACTATTTCTGAAGAAGGTCCTACGACAGCTATTATCTTCTTATAAAAGATATATATAGGCATGCATATGAAACTTGAATTAACATTAAAATCAGGCTTTCCAGTCATCCAAAAATTCCTCTGCTGAATAGTTACAGTTCAGTTTGTTAACTCAATAGCCACCTCCTCAACCAGGACAATTGGAGAACCAATTAACTTGATAAAGATTTAGGCAATATACAATGAAAATGTAATAAAACTGGGGAGGCGGGCAACTCACAGTAAATTGCTGTGTTTCACATGTTTTAAATTGATAATATAGTGAACCAGCAATTGCAACACTTGTAGTGAGAGAAGACTGTATTATAGCATTGGTAACTGTAGGAATTTATGGACAAATGCACCAAATACACACTCTTTATTAAACCTTTGTTCAGAACTAGCCCAATGGGCACGAGTTCTTACAATGGATATAGTTGGATACCCAGGATATTTTATGTATATTGCCAGGATTTTATTAACCATGATGTATACAATGCCGCTAAGGATTTGTTTCCTCAGGGAACACTGCCATGAAACTTCACCAGCGCTCTTGCCTCTTAGTTGTTTAAGTACCAACTGTTCCAACCTAATAGCTTGTCAAATGCTTCTAGTATGATCATCACTAAAAAGATAGCTTTCTACTCTTATTACTGAAGGGCACAGTGGCCTTCGTTAAAGGTCAAAACGTCAATGTATGACAGATAACTTCTTGCTAGCGATTAACTCACGACTTCCATTGACAAAAAAGTTACAGAGAACAATGTGATACTGGAACTTGATATGGTGAGTTCCATATATCTTTATAATTATTCATAGTTAATGTTGTAAGGAAATTTAATTTGGGCATATTTATTTATTGGACTTATTTACAGATGTCAGACTAGTTGTTGGCCTCTAGTCTCATCAAAGATATTTTTGGGTTCTTTGCATCTTCCACAGGTGCTTGGGAAGATGACTTGCTCCTTATTGAAAATGAAGCCCTAATCAATAAGGCCCTAAATCAGGGCTTAACCTTTTAAACAGGTGTTGGTCCCTCCCAGCACAGCTAGCTGGTTTCCCAGAAAAAAAAGGAAAAACTGCAACTACTTTTCTTATGTGCCATACAGGGAGGGGGTGGGGGGTGGAGAATGGGTAAATAAAACTCGAGCCACTCACTTTCAGGTTCTCTGGAATTTTGTATAATTCATTCTCTGCATGTTTCACGTCGTTCTCTACTTGATTCGTTGCATCAATGTTCCTGCCCCTTTTCTTTGCCAATTCTTGTTCAACATATCTCAGCCTGTCATTAAAAAATAAAGGAAAAGGCTAGCAAATATACACTAGTGTCGAAGCTGCAGCAGTAAAATCAAAAATCCGTACGACAATATGAAAATATCCTTACAAGAATCCCACAATAAAAGATTACTTCTTTTCAGAGAAGCCTAAATTCCTTGATAAATGATTTACTCCATACTGTTTCTAAACATGTGACTATTTTTAGTAAACTAGGACTAATAAAACTTGAAGTTCAGATCATTCTATCACGAATGCATAGAAACTATTTTCGAATGCTTCAACATCTCATTCATAATTTGGCAGTGCAACAAGCCAACAAGACAGTAGTAAGTGCATATGGAACAATCCCATTTGGCCGGATTCAATACAAATCAAAAGTACGAAATAAGAGGACTTGGAAGAAGGTGAAGTGTAAAGCTTAGAATACAGCGAATTGAAGCTGAGAATTTAAAGCAACTGAAATTGAGAAATTCATTTTTTCATGAAGAATAATACAGATAGCAAGCAAGCAACTAGAAGGAATAACGATTTTTTTTTCACTAAAATCTATTATAGTTCAAAGGGAAGCCCGTATCTATTCCCTGATATGCAGTTAAAAACAAAGAGCAGAAGGAGATTACATACATATTGGGGTCTTCGACCATGACAGCAGTTTCCTGAGCAAAGGTGTCCTGCAAAACCAAGTCATCCTTCTCCCCATCCCCTTCATTCTTGTCATTGACTTTGCGAACCAAACCGCCTGTACTAGCATTGCTTGCTTCAGCACCACCTGCAGTGACGGCAGCCTGCGTGGCTGTGAGTAAAGCCGGTATTCCGGATTTTCTCTCCCTCTGCCTCTGAAGGAATTTAACCTCCTCGTTCCGGTTAGACTAGTTTAAGTAGTTTTTAGTAGCATTTTTGTATAAAAATTAAAACCCCAGTGACTTACACAGATAAATAAGTTTAAAAAAAGAACTGATCATTTATGAATAATATAATATACTATTGATGAAATGAAATTAATCTAGGCACCTTCTTTCTTGGTCGGAATCTTCCTCTTCGGCGGTGGGTGTACTTCTTTTCCTGAAATTCTTGGCCTTCATCTTCCTCTTCTCTTTTTATATTCCTATCCGGCGAATTAACGAACGCCCGAGCAGCCTTCCTTACCTATTTATCGCGTCACTAAGATTGAAACCAATTTGCGCTAAGCGATCTCAGTTTGAATCGGAGAACCACTGAAGGGAATGCGATGGGAGAGGGAGGAAATGACTGCCTCCGTTCCTTACAGTACGTCAATAAAAGCCCAAATAGAATACTTTCCAGGCCTTGATCTGGGCTTTCTGAAAAATCCCGTAGTCGAATCCCATGTCCCAGCTTGTTCAATCGGTCACAGTTAGGGATGTATGAATTTGATTTTGATCCGAATTTAATGAAATTAATGAGAGATAAATTTAGGGTCTCAGTTTGATAATCCGATCAAGATCTGAATTCAATAAGGGAAAATTACACGAATCAGGTGTTTAAAAAGTTAATTTTCAAAAATAAGGTGTAAAGTTTATTTATTCAAAACTTGGGTAATATATATTAAATCCCTAATTAATAACCCTAATTTTAACACACACTACTCCCTCCCCTCCATCTCAAGCCTCTCGTCTTCCTCCCCACTCCTCCCTCTGTGAATGGCGCGACGATAGCGTCGCAATGAGATGGCTCAGCGGCCGCGCAGCCGTTCACCACTCTCCCTCCCTCCCTCCCTCCCTCGTCTCCCTCCCCTCCCTCCCTCGTCTCTCTCCATGTGACGTTCACAATGTCGCGACGACAGCGTATCTTTGATCTCAAACCTCCGCCGTTGTGAAAGTCTTGAGTATCTTGATGTGCGTTCATGCCCCCATATAACCAGAATGAGATGCAAGGAGGCTGAATTGCAGTTTCCGAAGAGATGTAGAGTGAATTTTGTTGGGGATTTGGCCGAGCCAGATGTGTTACACTGAGACAATGATTTGTGAATATATGGCAAATTCTGTTACATTGAAGGTCCCTTTGTTTGGTTGGAGTTTTTACGTCTCTGGGATAGTTCGTCATTTTATTTTGCCCTAAATTATTGTTTTATGTATTCTAGTGCTTTCGATTTCTTTTTCATTTATTTCTCTCCACATCTCTGCACTAGCATTTGTCATTTATATGTTCAATGAATTGTGTATCAATAACTAAGACATTTGTGAATATTTTTTGACGATTATTTCTATTTGATCTATGAATTGAGAATGTTTGAGGGAATTTATTGTTTAGACATTTGTAGAGAACTATTTTGTTAGCAACTGTGGATTCTGAGTGCAGTGTAAAGTGGATTTTGAAAATAATGGTGTAAAAGTTAAATTGGTCATTCAACTTATTTTCTTGAGCTATAGAAGTTTATTTTGGGCAGTGGTGGTGATTGGTGTTATTGTCGGTGGACGATTGTGGCGGTGGAGGTGGCGGCGACAAGGATGCGATGAAAAGTGTCTGCGACCAACTATTTGGTTGAATTGTGACCAAATAGTATCTGCGACCAAAAAAATATATAATCTGTGACTGTGAAAAAATCTGTAACCAACTAATTTTGAAATCTGTGACCGTGTGACCTATAATCTTTAATATGTGACCAACTAATTTTGAAATCTGTGACCGACGAATTAAATGTGACCTACAAATTTTTTTATATGTGACCATTAAAAAATCTGTTACTAACTAATTTGGAAATCTGTGACCTGCAAATAAACTGTAATCGAAAATTAAATTTTAACTAATTAATATTAATTAATTAATTAATACCTGATTTTTGCAAGTTTGAAACTTAACACCTGATTTTTGCAATTGTCAAAGTTAATACTTGATTTGTGAACTCTTCCCATTCAATAATCCGTTAACTACATAGAGCAAATATGAATATAGGTTAATCCGATCCGATAACAATTCGATTCAATTTGTTATAAAAATATAATATATTTTATATATTACCACACATAATTCTTTTCATTTTGAAACTTATATTATACTTTATGACTTTTAATAAAGAATGTCAAACCTATCAAATTTCAATATAATATTAATATATTATAATAAATTTTGTATTGAGATTGAGAATCCCTATTTCTAAAATATTTTGGATTGGATATTCGATAATACAGTAAATCGGATATGAATTTAACAATCAAATATCCGTTGAATTATCGGATCGAATATGGACTGATCCAATTCATATCATATCCATTTGCCGCCCTAGTCACAATACTTTTTGTTTGCTTAGATACACACAAGTTTCCATAAAGTATTATTTATAGTCATACCATATTTTTACCTTATAAATATGTGAAACTCTGCCGCATTCCATATCTAGCAAAACATAATATCTCATGTTATGACAAGTTGCACAAATTTTGTTATTTGTCGAGCTGAATCTTCAAATGATGAGAGTCACCAAACTTTCCCATAATTCAATAAGAATAATTCTTCAAGTAAATAATTTTTTCACATACTTCTGTTTTTCTATACAAAATCTGAGAAAAAACCATGTACTTGTAGCATGATTGATTCAATAATTTCCATTTACAGTCTACACGTTTTTCTATTCAAATTTTGGCAATTTAACTTGAACGATGGTTACTAAAGTTTGCTATTTTTTTTTTTCAAAATGGCAATTGAAGTAATTTTCTTATAACCGTAATCACGCAAAACGCACTCCTAACAATTCTATAAATTGACGACGTTAACTAATACCTCACGTCAAATCTTGTATGTGAAAGTGAGATAAATGGGTTTAGCCTTGAATGTCAATTTGAATCGCTCCGATATTCTCAAATCACAAAACGTTATATTATGTGTGCGATGCCTCCCAAATCTTGGATATCGAATTCAACCATTTCTATTGCTCACCACTCATTTTGCCCAGATTAATCAATTGCTTATCGTTTGGAGATTACCCTATAAATCAGGACGGTGATTCCACCATAGTCTCAAGTCGATTTAACACCAAGACACTATAAACGATATTCAAAATTATGAGTTTAGGCGAAAAACAACACCACTCGACTCGAGACTTGACGATCTAGTGGACAAACAAGATTGGATGCCGAATTCTCAAGGCGCATGATTATCAAAAGTTGAATGTGACTGCACACGATGCATTTGTTTGGGCCTCATTTTTTAAAACTTTTTTTTTTTCTTTCCGAAACTCATTTTCAATCATAAATTTCACGAAATCCACAACTTTTATCAATTTTTCACTTATATATTTCATTAACATTTATAAAAATTACTAAAAATCTGATTTTTATCAAATCATACGATGGCAACACATATTTACGTATTCATTATTTTTACATTGTTCTCGCAATTAACATAGATCACACATTCAACTCAAAAGTTTTAAACTACTTTATCCACTATTATTATTTTTTATATTTTTTCCTTGGGAAATGTTTGGCTCTCAATCCTACTTTTAAATGTGTTGTTCCTTTGGAAGTAATTTAATCCAGACCATGGGAAAGAGTGCACGCATAAGAATGTATTCCAGAAAAGTAATCAAGGCTTGGAATCACAGTCTTCCATTTGGAATTTTTCCCCCTTCTCGTTCTTTCGGAAAAATTGCACTGTTCTCAATTTATTATCCAGGAAATGTACATATTGTCAACAATATTGTACACCAAACACGCGACATGTTGTCAATAGACAATTTTAAAAGGTAATTTATCTTTCCAATCAACATTTTTTTTGCCATTTACAACGTTGCCAGCAATGTTGGAAAAAAAACATTGTATGAACAATATTATCCTTACCCAGGTGGCAAGTCATGTCCGACCTTTAAGTAATATAAATTGATCCACGATTTCCCAATTTATTACACAATAAGTCCCTTAAAACAGAATACTGTATTTCAAAAATACGACATAGATATTGTAAGTAGAGTAACAAGAACGATAACTTGTCATCAAAGTATGAAATCGCAACATTCAAAAAGTGAATTTCTACAATTATCTCTTGAAAGAGGACATAAATGGTGCTCGTTTCACAATGAAATTCTAGAAAATTTAATTAAAGTCTCATACAAGATGGGTAAAAGAGGCGTCGTTGACTTGGGTTTTTGGAGGAGAGGAATAGCAAATATGGGACTACTATTGTGGCGGTGTTGGAGGTCTATGCTGGGTCAGAGACGGAGTTTGTTGGTAGGAATGAAGTTTTTTCTTTTTACTAAAATTGTGTTCATCGATTTTACCTCTAAAATGTGCATATTACTTGACCAAAATTGGTTAGTTCTTAGTTTCAAAGTTGTCCGTGAATCGGTAAAAAAATCAACAGCTACCGTGATCTTTGCTTCTTTAGGTTTTCTCCAAGTCGAAGAGTTACTAAGAATGCTCTCAAGATATTAGTATCTTTTTTTTTTTTTGATAACTCGAGTGTACGAACTCCGTCCGACTAATTTTAAGGAGTGACGGCCTTCCTCCTGATTCGCTTCTCGGGTAAATCCAGATGTGATCACAACTTGGGCTGAACATTCGGGAAGCGGTTTTCCTCCCTGTGGACCTCCATTTATGACTTGCAGATAGGACCTCGGAAGGCGACAAAATATATCAGTATCTTTGATTTCATATTCAAATGTTCAATTCCTTCATTCGGTAGTCTTTAACACCCGGTTTTAATTCAACACTTGTTTTTGATACCTTTTTGCACGAAATTTTAACAGAGATTTGGAGAATTGCTGTCGCTGTGGGCTATTTCTGCAACATTAGGCATCGATGACTGATAAATTGCTCCTTTTGAGAACACCTTGCTGCTCGGACAATAAATTAGGGAGGAAATGCTTGACCTTTTCCCTTTCCCTTTGTTGACTTTAGTCTTCCTTTCCATAAGTACTACAAAAAAAAAATTGGGTTTAATGGCTGATAAAAATCTAACTCACGTATTTGGTAAGATAAATTATTCGAATTAAATAATATAAAAAAAGAATGAGTCAAAATGCTTTAGATATTCTATTAATTTAACGTGGATCCTTTTCTTCACTTTTAGGAAACCAATGTTTACTTTACAGGCTAAATAAAAAGAATGCGAAAATGCTAATGAATTAAAGAGAGATAAAATACGGGGGAAAAAAATTGGAAAAATTGATTGATGAATCGCCACTTGACAATAATTAAGTGTAAAGGCAAAGCACGTGTCATGCGATGAGACTCAACCGCTCATCGTCTAATTTAATTATTTATTTATTTATAATATATTCCCAGATATATGTTATAATAGTACCACAACCCAACCCCCAAGTGGCAAAATTCAACAAGGAACTCATATTTTTTATTAATTTTTGTCCAAACATTACTTTCCAAATATAATTAAA